CAACAGAAATATGTTTACTAAGCAGATACTCATTAGAAGAGAGTGAAAATATACTGAAAGACTAATATTTCTCTTGATCTCCTCAGTCGGTACAATGTAAAACAATGTGGTATTTATATAAGAAACTTTTGATAACTATATGGGTTAACAGATAACAGTCGAGGGAGAGGGGATAAATTATTCTTCCGAGGTAAGTTCCACCACGAATGTAGATTAACTGATGGGTGAAATTGGATTCAGAATTAGGTGGCTGGCTCTGTTTTCGTTTGTCCAGACAAATTTTCTGGCTGTACGGTAGAAGACGAAGCTGTGCAGCAAGCAAAGTTCTAATCCATGCCGCTTTGGCCCTCTGCTGCACTTCATTCATTAGATGAGCACCCTTGAGGAAAACGCATTTATTCTTTATTTTTAAAGGCACTGTTATCACTGGGCGCTCGTAGTTGGTGAAGAATGCAAGTCACTGAACGTGAGCAGGCTGACTGAAGTTGTCAACACGATTTACAAGATCAACGGGTGAAATGCAGGTCTGTGACCCGCAACAAGCTCGCAAAGATAAGTTGTGTTATATCTTGTAAATGGAAAATAATAAAACGGTCTGATCAGCTGTTCGGTGGCCGAGTGGGTAGCATGCTTGCGTTCTGCCCAATAGGTCCCGGGTTCGATCCCCAGTTGGGTCGATGGAATCGCACTGCTGATGACACCCAACCAGGTCGAAATAGCTGTCCAGTGCTTCCTAGCTCTTCAATTCACGCTTTATTGGCTATATACACGGGGAATTAAACTTTGATATTTGAGATCAGTAAACACAAAGGCTGTCAATACCGTGTTATGAGATACTACACACATTTGTGAGTAGTATGATAGGTCCGACAGCGACCTCTGGAGATTGCCACTAAAGAAAATTACAAGATTTGAGGCGCTTTCTCTTGATTACTGACAAGTTTAGTTCACACCAAACCATTGAGTTCCCGTGACCGAAATATTCACTTCTTATATTCATCACTCATATATGAGAACAAAAAATTGTGAGCGCCCAGATTAGTTTTTCGCTTCCATCGTGGCTGACAATCCGTACTCTCTTTCTCTAGCAGCTGGATCACAATCGATTGCATTATTTTTATAAGATATTTTATTCCGCTTTTCTGAAATCCGTGCATAGCGCCGAGGTTTCCCTCTGAACTGTACTATTACAGGCTAATATTCAAATGTGCAATAGTGGCCTCACTATAGTATATGAAGTTGACATATATGGTTCTTTGGCAGGATTGTGCCCCTTAGTTCAATTCCAATTGATCCATGTCATGCTATGTCTCTCATTCAGCTACATTGTCATTGTCGCGATTTAAGATTTTAGCCATATTTCATTATGCTAGGCAGAATTATTTGTCCAAATTATTTATCCATCAAAATCCAACATCACAAATTGCTTAGCGCTCGGTTGTGCTAATAGACAGAAGTTGAGCTTTTCATAGTGTTACACTATGAATTGGTAAGGAAAACTACAGTCAGTCTGCCGGGGGAAATAATGTCCTGAAACATTATCACGTGTTCATTTTTTTAGGATTGATTTATCCTTAATAATAAATAATAAAATATTTTACTTTCTTTCGCTTTTTATTAATTATAGAAATAACCAATAAAAGTTCAGGAACGGAGCCGCAGCCATGCAAAGAATTCTTGAGTAATTAATAATTAGGAAGATGAGCGTCGGTGATGGGGTTAAACTCAGGATCCCTGATGCTATTTTGACGACCATACCACTCGATCACTGCCACCCTATTCTGATTCTAAAATATAGGAGAGCTTTAAGTCAATTTCTTCTGACAAAAGCGTTTCTTGTCTTTTGTCTGTCCTCACTCTCTTCATCTCCCCACCCCCATTTCATGAGAGAGACAGTTCCTAAAGTGAATATTCCCTAATTTTAAACAACTAAAAATAAATGGCGAATCAGCTTTCCCGATTGTTGGAGGGGTGTTTGAGTGTATGAAGGCTCAGAGCGCATCTTGCTACAAACCAGTTAATTTTTAAGTTCTCTAGCACCGTATGTAGATCCTGTGTGTTTTTGAACTAAAAGGTCATATACATTTTCCCCGTCATGGACTCTGTTAACACGTGGAAGCTCTGTATATTAATTTTTAATACCAGGCAACTCCCTGAAATAGTTATTTATCTGTTAAAAAAGTGCAACGGAATCTCGTTGCAGTATTTCATTAAATAATATGAAGGTAGGCTTATATTTCTTATAGAATTGCAGTAGTTCTCAAAACTCTTTACAGTATCTGAATGTTTTCAACATGCTCCTAGGGTACGCATTTTTGGAAAACATTTCCGCATAACACATCAGACAAGTTAATTAGACGCTCTTCCAATTAGTAATAACACACTGGTAATCGGGCTTTGGCATACATGGCGATGTTGAAACATGCGAGTCAAGCTTAAAATTTATTAAATATGGCTACGATCTTTAAGACTCCCAGCTAATTATTCACTAAATAATTCCTTTTTTGTTAATAGTTTGCGAATAATAATTAACAAAAAATAAACATTTATATATAATTTGCATATAATGGTCAATCCAAATTAATCAGAAGTAAGACGATTCTTTTGTAACTTTTAAAACTGGTGCAAAATCCTTCTTTTAAGCTGAACAATGTTAGATTTTTCATAATAGTATAACAAATTAGAACACATGCCTGAGCTAACCTTTATCTTCGGGACAATGAAGAGAAACGAGGTGCGATTTTATGGTATCCTGCTGGAAGACCCCCTCATACTCTGAATACATCACAGACAGCCATATGTCTCAGAAGAGCCAACGATGCATCAGATTGATAAACACCCTTTGAGCCTTCTGTATGCGACCGGATTTTCTCATCCCGAAGTTTGTTGACTAGGTGTGACTTATTGAATAATAAAATTTGTCTGCATTCTCTTTTGTCTTCCCAGGTAAAGTGAGAAGTTTAAAGTGCATTCTGTACTTAGTAAAAGTAGCACTCAGACCATCCCGCAAAGTAATGGAATTGCCTAAAGCTTTAATCAGAAGTACACTGCATTTTATGTACTTAAACCAAGAAAACATACCGCCAGGGGGCACATCCATGCAACTATTATTGCACGAAGAACGGTTCAATTCAAAATAATATCCACTGTAAAGTTTGATTAATAAAACTGCCCTCAGGTCAATATAGAGAAAACTAGTTTAAAACATCATTGACGACGTTCCAGAAATTGGGAAGGAAAAACATTTGCAAAAGCGACCGTGACCAATCCTAAAGCCAGCTAACTAATCATTTGTGCATCATTAACATGAGGCAAACCACAGGATTGTAACGTCAGTAAGAAGCTTTTGGGCGTTGTTAATCAAAGTAATTCTTTTGCAGTTTTCATAAAATTATTCATCTCTTTTCTTGCAACTTGTTTGGAATCAATCCACAGACCTGGTTTCGAGCACCTCTGTTTTTCCTAACCTAACCAAATAGACTTATTAAATCCGTGACTAAAACTGATTTCTATCCTAAAAACGGGAAGAAATCAATCTACTGGTTTAAGAGGCAAATAAACTCCGGATTCCTATTTGTATCAAGCGGAAGATTAATGTCAAGTGGCGACGCCAAAGGTTAACGAACCCACCGTTGACCAAAGGCAGAGTAACTGAGTGGTCAAATGTTATGTTCACATTGCGTTGCTGAAGGTGGATCAGTGTACTATAGAATTGCTTAATTAAGTAACCTACGTCTGATTTCCGGTGATTCGGTAATCCTCTCCATTGAAAAAATCGTAAATTTTCCTGATAATAACAGTCTTTCCGTACCTATATATTTCGCGCCAAAACACGTCACTCTCTGGCTCTTGATGAGAAGTCATTTAAAGAATTTGCTCATGAAAACACTTTTATTAGGGACAAGGATGATCCAGTGGACGTCCAGAAAAGGTTGCATCTTGTGCCTTTTAGAGAGGTGGAATAGAACAGTTTGAACGAATTCATTCACTAGCATTCATTGAATCCGACAGTTTCTTTGTTATGGGTGCGAATCAGAAGCAGTTAGAATGTGGTTTGCATTAGAGCATGGTTCATGTCCACATAAATATGCCGGTGAAAGGGACAATTCTTTGAGGGATCCACCTCAGTGACATCCGATAGCCATTGGATAAATGTAGGTCAATCACCACTCGGAGAGTAAAGATGACTCCATTTCAAGTACCATCAGGTTCTAACAAAGAGTGGTACATGTAAAGGATTCATTGTATTTTGCAGATGCTCAGTCAGTGGTACGAACTGGTGCAGAGACTTGGAAATTCTGGAAATAGGATAAGGATAGGCAATCGGTGTTCAAACACTGCGGCCTGAGCCGGATCACAGGAGTCCGGGTGAGAGACCAAATTAGTAATCTTTTAATTACGTTCAGTTTAGGGCAACTGATTATTTTCTACGTCAAGAACACCTCAAATACGGAACTTACTAATTACAGAAACAAACCTGCTAACACAGCGTAGAAGTGCTAGCTTCTAGTTTGCTCTTGATTCCACAATTCATTAAAAGAATATATATACTACCGTCATCTGACTTGTTTGAGGCCTTACAATGTATATAAATTAAACTATCAATGGAAAAATTATCTATTATTCCGTGCAACATTATTCTTACATCATGTGGATGTCAACATCCTTGTCGGAAAAATGTTCAAAGTGAGTAACTAAAAGAATACTTTAAATTCGAGTTATAGCCAGCTTAAAAATCTGTGAATTTCAAAGTTATATATGATTAGAATAAACCAATGTTCTGATAAAAGTCAACAATAAAATGCAAATCCATCATCCTTAGGCAATAAAAGCAAAAGGTCTTCCAAAAACGAAAGCGAAAATATATTATTGACGCCGCAAAAGCAAAGTATCCTCAACAATTTACTTTGCCAGTCAATAGGATCATTACAAATTAATGTAACTACAAATGAAAGTAAAATATGAGTACTTAGTTGTGGATAAATTATGAAATGAATGAATTATCCATCCCCAACCAGCGGAAGACTGAATTTATACAGTTGCAAATTACTCTGGGCCTGCAGCTTGCGCAATTCCGCCCGAGTCATTACTCTTTTAGACGGACGTGGTGGTGCTTCATCTACATCGTCTCCTTTGTTTACTTCCTGACGTTCTACAGGTTCCGGATCTTTTAATGGTGCTGGTGGAGGAGGAGGCTCAACAATTTGTACAGTAACTGGTGGTTGGGGATTGCGTAAACATCCCATGTATACTGGCCTTGGTGGTGGTTTATTGTCATAAATATCCGGAGACCGTTTTGTACGAAAGCAAAACATCCAGACTGTGTTTGCCTGCGGTGTACAGAATCTTCCTCCTTGCGATAATAAAATAATCGATTCTACTCCCATTTGAATCCGCTATCTACACAACAGACAGTTCGTGATCTTCGTGCCTGTCACGAGACCTTCTGTCGTTTTCTAAAACCGCATAATTGGGGAATTATCAGCAAATATTAGAAAGCCACCCACTGATACTAATTCAACAGAATTGATTCTCACTCTGTCTGTTCTCAAATCTTAGATTGATGATGAGAAAAGTATCCGTTTGATTCTTCTGAAGAATCTTCTTCTTTTTAAGAAATTCTTCTACAGTCATTTGAAGTTTGTCAGGTCCCAAAGCAATTCAGGTAAAAAGAGTTACTGTTGCATCTGGTATTACAAGTTTGATGCAGCAACTTGTATCTCAACACTATTCAAACAAAATATCTACGTTGATTTGACGTTAAAACCCTGAGTCAGTAGGTCCTAAGCACTACTGAAAACGAGAAAAGAAAAGTAAAAATGCACAAGAAACTGTGCTTTACATGGCTATGCAACATAACCATCATATGTTTCAGGGATGTTTTTCTAGTCTCCATCTAACACAGCTTTCGCCTATAGCTTCCAGACGCTATTTCCCTATGGACAGTGACCAAACCCAAAAATACCTCCAGGCATATCGGCTAATGTGGGTGAAAGCTTTCATCCAAGACATTTAGGAAGCCTATTCACCTTTTAATAGCAGTTAGTGATCAAAGAAAAAAGCCCGACAATGTAAAGCAAACAGCTCTAACGACAAGCTTTTGGTATTATGAGAATAAGCTTTTTTGACAACAGAGTTAAGCAATCCGAACTTAGAAAGTTCTTCAACCTGAGATGTATTCATTACACATTGGCATTGGACTGCTTGCGACACGATGCACTACGGCACAAAAGGGTGAGCGATAAATAGGGAACTTAGCATTGAAACGAAAATTGATTACTTTTATTGTATTGAAATGGTTCAACTGCAAGGAAGTTAGTTAGGGGGCAGCGTCTGTTACAGGTATTTTACAGAAAGAACGCAAGGATACCTGCATGTAAGTCAGCGTGTATGATTCTGGTCAAGTGAAAAAAAAGACGAGACTGCACGTTAGAGTGGGGTGATGGCTAGCGTGCCTCTACCTCCCCGCGAGCTACACAGAATGGGTTTTCACAGTTGCAGATCTAATCAGGCCCGAGACGTCAATTGGTGGAGGCCAAACGAAATTTCCCAAGGCCAGTTTCTTTGGCACCTTCCGACTTGCTCGGAGTATCCAATTTCACACTCAGAGAGGTCATTCCAGCAAATTAACACGGTGAAGCGCGCCTTACTGATGAAAGAAAAATCTGCTAGATGGACATATGGGCTGAGTACCTGGGTATTCCACTCGACCGCTGGAGAAGTCTTTGCATTTCATTGATTAGCTACCGCGCGCCAGAGATGCGCAACCCCCAGCCAATATGGTACTCTCCCATTCATAGTTCGCTTGTCTCATTAGGTGTAGGAGATCAAGGACCAATCCCGAACAGCGGACCGAAAAACAAGCCATCAGAGAGCAATACACTAAACAGAAACACAAAGATCTTCAATGACAGGTCTCTAGAAGCTCCCACACGAGTGATTCGGCCACCATCCTGTGTTGGATCTACGCCCCAATGCGTTGTGGGTCAGATATTGAGTCAAAACTCCGCTTATGGTTGCCAAAGAAAAATCGCTTCATCGGTGTGGGCTGCAGAGAAGTATGCCAAGCCCTTTAAGTCTTAGGCACCCATTTGGATATCTTCTGTTTACATCACCCATCGGATATCGTTCAGCGACTTTGTGGTGATCCATGCCTACGTGATGATGTCTACCCTGGTGCGGCGCGTTACACTTTCTGGACACCTGCGATCAATCAAATTTCAAAGGTGACATCAATGATGCGCGTACGTATCACGGCTTCTGACTATACGCCATAGGCAGATCTTGCCAGCCAATCCGAGACAGTGCAGTTCAGACAGAAGCAGAATTATGCAAGCAATATTGCAATACGATTAGTGGAAGGCTGGATAACAAATAGCCTTCTTTTGTACATATTATTTAATCGCCCTCGTTTCTTCCAACAAATGAATTACCATTCTTGTGTCCTTCTCCTCGCGTCTCAGTTACGTGGGACATTGCGTGCCAGTGCCATTGCGGTCCAGTGCTTCCGTGATCCAGTCTGTGATAGCTGATCCTTGATTCAAGTTCCGGGATTCGTATTGCGTGGCTTGTATCCCGAATCCAGTGCGCTTCGTGGGAGCATGACTGGAGAAAGGTTAACACCGTTAGTTATCGGAAAATTTCAAACTTCACGATATATTTGAGGTATAGATAGAGAAAGCCTTCCCTGTAGTCATAATTCTTCGAAGACCCAATGGGTGACTTCCGCATTATTTCAAAGTTAGCTGTCGGTTGTCAACCACAAGATGGATTTTCAAAGACGCCCCATTTTATTATTTATAGATAACGTCCCTTGCCATAACAAAGCCGCGGTATTCAAATCAGTAAGGCTGCCTCCGAACTAATCTTCAATGCTACAACCAATCGATCAGGGTGTGATTTGGTCTTTCAAATGTTCGTTTCGCAAACATTTACTGGAACATGTTTTGTCTTTGATCGAAGATGAGCAACTTAGCATGAAATCTGAAGTGGACGTCCTCATGGGCATGCACATCCGGCTAAGAAAGCTCGGGTGTCTGTTCATCCACACGTACTGATCGACGCATTCATAATGGCTTGATTCAAACCTACTGTAATGATTGTAGTAGTCGTAGTAGTACGCACGGAATTCGGAATACAAACCACGCAATAGGAATCACCGGACACGAGTCAAGGATTAGCTGTCACGGACTGGATTACGGAAGCACTGGACCGCAATGGTACGAGCTCGCAATATCCCAGGTGAACGAGACGCGAGGAAAAGGCCACAGGAGTAGTAGTACGTAGTCCGTTTATTGAAAGAAATGAGAGTGATTAAATAGTATCTACAAAAGAAGATTAATGGTTATCTAGGCTTCCACCAATCGGATTGCAAAAATGCTTGGATAATTTTCTTCTGTCTGCACTAACTTGGATTGGCTGGCACGATCTACCTATAGTGTGTAGTCGGAGGCAGTACACGTGTCATTGACGTCAGCATTCAAATTTGATTGATCGCATGTGTCCGAAAACTGTAATGCGCCGCTCCAGGGTAGGCGTCATCTCGTAGGCCTGAATTACCACACCTACATTGAATCAGCCGTTGATACAGCCACCAGAGCATAATTGCGATCTGATTGCAGACTTTACTCACTATATGACCAAGGATAAACCTCTTTTTGTAAAACAAATTGCCTCTTTTCGAAACTAGCTAAGCGTCGCAAAGAAGAAGACGAATGTGGAGCAATGAATGCGCCGGAAGTTATCTCGGTTAGAGAAGCACAGAAGTTTCTGGATCAATTGAAGCTGTTTGCCTTGGCTAATGCTCGGATTTCCGATCGATTATTGTGGTGTACAATTGATTTAGACAGCGCGCTTGTTGATTTTCAAAGGAGAGCCAGGCTGAGACAAAAGACAATTTGTGATTGCTAAAAATAACTCCTTGTAATCTGCGAAGATAGTTTTCTGCAGTTCGGTGGAACACTCGCATGCGGTCAATTTTTTGCAGTAATCAGTAAAGGCACGGCCATTCGGTCTGTTGATGGGCTGTGCCGCACTAACGCGTAAATGGGTGGACGATAATCGCCGTCAACTGGTAAGCGGGTCCGTGGAATAAGATGTCAGATCCAAGCGATTGATAAAAGCCGTGTGAATGAATGATAATCCGCCATGTCCTTGTTAGAGCACGTGAAATTTAGTAGGTCATTGTAACCCGGGTCTGACGCGCTCCGGAATGTTTGGGCGATATACTTTTAACTTACCAATCACTTGTTGAACTTAATCCGTCACTCATGTTTCCCGACACTGGCCATAACGAATGTATCAATCGAGTTGAACATCCCCTGGCAACAACAAAAGCGAACCAATGAATAGATGTGTAAAGAGCTATTAGTACGAATTTTTCACCAGAAAATCATAAATAGATTGCACAGTGAGCAATCAACTTGGAATATAAGAAAGAAGTCAATGTACTGACTATACTATGTAACGGATATTTCACTTACTTTAGATGACGTGATTTCCTTCGAATGCGACTTTTTGTCCCGTTCTCTCACTGTTTGATCTGGTTGATTATTGTTTTCATCGAATAGGTTAGTGTTGATGTTGTGATTATTATAGCTAAAGCAGTTGTATCTATGTTGAATGCCGTTTCTGTGGTTAGCCTAAAATCGCAAAAGAATGGAGGATTATCTGGAATTAATATGGGATAATTGGGTCAGCAAAGGTTCCTCTGAAGAAAGGTAGATAGTTTCGGGATAAGTAGACACGTATAACTGAAAAGGGCTGAATACCGCATGCAATGTACGAATATTAGGCTGAGGGCATCATAAAAGATTTCAATTTCTTCGATACATAAACGATACGGTTTATCTAAATTCTGTTGAAAATAAACGGTACGTAATTATAAACGTTGGGAACAAGTAACGGAATTAACATACTTTTTGTCGATCTGGTTTATTTTGTCACCAAACTCCCAGCCGATTTTTCAAACTACTTAATAGTATATACTACTGACTAACATGCTATGTCGCAGTTCATGGAACTTACCCACTTTTTCGAATTCCCTAAGGCTGCGATATAGAAGGAGATTGTCTGTACTCAATACAAGCACTGTGATAGTCTCTTCCCTAAAAGCAACCACATTTTCAGGTGTGTTCGATTTCACTGCTTACGGAACCACTTTCTGGACGAGAAACATTATCGAAAGACAGTTAATTGATAATCTATTATCGAAATACTTCCCTGCGTTAATACAGTCTTCTCCTTCATGGAACGTCTGAGATAATGGGGTGAGTCAGCCCTCCGAGATGAGGCTGGCTAAGAGCCTACGCGTTCC